GGAAGCTTGGGAAGCATAGCTCCACCGCCAATCAATTGTGTCAGTCTAACTACCTGCTTACCTACAGTATATCGTATAGCTTCAGTATTTATCAAAACATCGAGACGTCTATTCATTCTTCAGATTTTCATTAAGTGGCATAATCTCTTCATTGAAACATTCTTTCGTTAGACGTAGCCATTTATGTTGAGCGGTGAAATATGTCAAGTTTTTGAGCTGATCCTCAAGATTTAGCCTCAAGATGTGAACAGAAATCGTTTCTTGACACTTATAGTTCCCATTGGCATCTCAGTCGTGAAATCGCCTAGCGTCTCCGGGAAAAGTCCAGGCAAACCCGGTCCATCAAGTCAGGGCCAAGTGCTGCGATGAGCTCAGCAACACCAGCTCTCATTCCTGGATATTCCTCGACCCCCTGTTCATCCCAGCTGACGAGATTACAGGTCTCATATAATGGAGGTCTCGGGGAGATCTTCAAAGCGATATGATCCATATCCCAGTCGGCGACCGTGGATATCGGAGGTATGCCCGGCATCCCAGTGGAAAACAACCAGTTGCTGTCATCTTCATCCGATGCTGCAGAGTCAGAACCTTTGTCCTCCACTTTGTCACTCTCGTTTGTATCCTTGGCAGGCGACGCCGAGCTTTGTTCTATTTCACAAGAGGCCTGCTCCTTTTCAAGTGAAAGGCTCAAGTACGGCTTTTTGTCGAGGAGATCCAACACAGTTCGATCCAGTGGGTCCCAAGTCAATGAGACAGGATCAAGAATATACTGAGGTGAGTAATCAATCTTGTACCACATCTTGGGACAACCGTGTATATAATAGCCTGGATACCACCGGCCATAGCCCTCCTCGATGGACAAGGCAATCTCATACAGTGCACCAAGCTTCCCTGGCGCATGCTGGTAAATACTTTCATGATAAAGAAAGTATACTGAGCTTATACACTCGGGTAAAAGATCAAGCACTCCAATGGCAACCAGCCTACCATCTAGCCTGTAGCATTGGTGATACGAGCCTAGGCGACGTTTACGCCCATCGGATGTCACCATTGTTTCTCTCCTCAAGGGTGAGTCACAAAGGAAGCGTCGAAATCCGCTCTTGGTAATTTCATCTGGAGACTCCTTGTGAACTACCGCCTGATAGTTCTGGTAAACAGCAAACTTCTCGTCCGTACAATCGTCATGCTCTAGAGTCACGACGAGTTTATGGGCAGCCTCAGGAGGGTTCTTCAAGTTAGCCTCTTCAGCCTCATGAATTCGTTCGACGAGATCAAACTGATTATCCCGTTTCTTAGCCTCATGACGCGACTTGGGATACAGACGAGCCGCTTCTTTCATGTAAGCCTCTCCCATGACATACTTGTTGAAACGGTTGACGGTCTGCCGTTGATCTCTGGATGGCTTGAACTGGCTGGAATCAAGACGAATAGTGTAGTGTGGGCAACATGACCGACGTTGATCGGGCCGGTACATGAGAGTGCCTGAACGTCTCCAGTATCTGTCAAGGAGAGTTTGGTAGAACGCAGGACTCATAGAAGTTGCCACTGCGTGGTAAGCGTAGCCTATAATCCCACGTACTAGTTAGCCTTACGTTCAAGAGACCGTGTGACCCAAGTGCTTATATAATGTGATCAATCTGAACTTCAGAATAACCATCGATGGCACGGCCGTAGAATCACGGGTGTCTCGTGACGTAAGTGTATGTGAGTCTTGGGGTGGTCAAAAGGTACTGGGAGGTGCAGAGGCTAAATTCACGTTTTGACTGACTCTTGTCACGTTTCCCACAGTAACCGCATTTTGATGATTTGAAGTATCCTAGGCATCAGTCAGCATTCGGTGAAGGGAAAGGCACAAACGGCAATTGTGTGGGGGTGGTTTCTTCTGAGATGTCAACGGATGGAGATTATGCGTGGGGGAGTAGAAAGCCAGGTCATGTAAAGCGAAGTGGAAAATAACCAAATGATACTTGACGTCTGATATAGCATAATACATTGACCCTGAAGCTGCCTTGCCACACCTCATCATATATAAAATGTCAACGTTTGTGATTCGGGCCTTTATTGGTGGTTTACACAAAGACCAACGACACTACTGAGCTAAGCAACATTGAGGCCAGGAATCTTGAATTCAAGGGAATGGTTCTGAGACACAACTTGGTGAATACAGTAAAGAAACAAGCCAAATATGCATGCTTGAAGAGGCAGACATAGGTTTGTTCGAGTCGAGATACACACCCACACTTGTGAGCAGACGTAAGCTAGCTAGGAGTGCTAATGAATTGATAGTGGCATTGATCCTTGACGCACGACCACCAAGATTGCGGAACCGTTGAACATGAGACTATGATCAACTGTCTGTCATTGACCAAAGTGGAAGCCGTCTGCAGGCTAAATTGGGATTGATATTGACGTGGATGTGGATGCCCTCGGGCTCCATGTAACTAATTGTGAAGGAAGGGTCAAGTGAAATGGATATGAATAATGGAACGAACTTGTCCCGGACGGGGAAAACGGGGGCGCGACGGGGACCGGCCGCGACGGAGCTTAAGCGCAGGCGCCGGCAACCAACGACAGGCCGGCATTAGACCACGGGGCTGATCGGTTGGAGAAGAACGTGGGAATAAGCACTCACCAATTGGGGTCATATATTCGTGCTGCAACAACGCATCTTCAGGGATGTGCATGCCGCTGGGTTCCATTGTGAACCTTGAACCTGCACTGCACAACTGGAGTCGTGTTCCTCAAAGGGCTGTTGGTTATATGTGAGATGCTCTGATGATGTCTTGCCGGAGACGGAAGGATGACGGTGGTGTACGGCGGATGAGGGGCGCCGAACCTTTCTCACGGGCCACAGCGAGGAGTTTAAATTACCCACGAGGCGCGAGTAAGGCTATCCGAGACGGGCAAGTCGTTGCGTGAGGTACGGTAGGTACTAAATTACCACACGTAGGTAGGTACCGTACGCACGTAGGTCCCTCGAGCAGGAGGAGGACGGAGAGAGGGGCAGACTCCCGAGCCTTGGAGATGGAGAACGGAGAATGGAGGGGGCGTGTGAGTTTGTTGAGGGAGGTTCAACGAGTGACGACAGCTGCGATCGCGTGCCTGCTGATTCCCCCTCTCAATGCGTGAGCGTGGGATGTTGTGTCTGCGGTTGGTGAATAGTCGATTAACCCAGTTGGTTATTTGGGGTGCACACGAACGACGATGACGAGACGCTGGCTGCGGATGATATCCAGGGATTGGCGCTGAGAGTGAGGGATGTGATCGTGTGCGCGCATGTGCAACAGAGTTGACCAAAATCGACCTGTTTCGATCTAACTTTAGGCGACCAAGCTAGTATAGTCGAACAGGGGTTCAAGGACACAGAAATTGACGGGTGTGCAACACCTGTAGACCAGACCTGACCGTGCTGTAGGCTGATGTTGTTCAACGGTTTCAAAGGGGCAGCCGGTAGAATGTAGACTCCACGGCAAAGTTCCGATATCGTATAGAAGCTACGGATACTCTGGGTTGGTATGGTGCCCCATATAGGTTTGACCGAGAGAATGTCAAGAGAGAAAAATGAAAGATAATACGTGGGAGACGGTAGGTTTTATGCTAGGTAAGATGAGAAAGATAGCTGAAGGCTGAAGATGGATGATGAATGATGAATGAGATCAACTATTGCTCAGCTCCGCTAAGGTAGGCAAGATCCAAGCAAGGCAACAACCACTGGAAGCTGCAGCTTCAATTGCAATGGCGGGGTGCTGTTCCAGGTGGCCACCCAAAATACCTACCTTAGACAGGTAGGGCTACAGTTATCTAGGCAACCAACTCTCTGCCGATACCTTTCATAATTCATGAAAGGAGCATTTATTAGCTGCAGTGCTGTTAGCAATATCGAAATTCACATGCAGTCGTCATATGCAATCAGAGATCCAAGCTTGCGGTGTTCTGTTGTAGGATATGTAGGTATGTACACTATGCTTAAAGCCAATCTCATTGCTAAATCCGACTGCAAATATTCAAGTTTGCTCTCAGAAAGTGCACAGATTACAAGACAGGATATCCCAGGTCCATCTCGTATCCAGTAGGAAGACTTCCCACCTCTCCAGCATTTCCTCAAAATCTACGGGACCAGATTCGATACAAGGCTGAGGCTGAGTCTGTGTCACCAACCTTCTCACTTGTCTGTCATCTCATCTCATCTCATCCTCAATAATAAACAAAAAAGTACCTGTCTCTTCAGAGCATAAACAACGACATATGATTGGAGGAATCGATTGCCCTGGCTTTTGGTGGTCAATCCCTCAACGTTGATGACTAGCCTCTCTACAGGTACAGTGCATTCTATTATTCCTTGCATGCTGCAGCCAAAGAGAGAAAAAGTCGCTGTGCAACGAATCATGTGAAACGAAAAGAAAGTAACCTACAGGTCTACTAGTCTCAAACTGACGGTCCCAGGCCAATCGAGCAACGATACGGCATTAGTGTGTTGCATCTTGTTTGCTGTATTTGCTCCATTGCTCTGCAGATTTTTTTGGCAGTTTTTGGACTCGCCTCGAGACAATCACGGAACCAATGTTTTTTTATCACCCGACTTGCGGGCCTTTTCTCGGTCTCGTCTCCGGGAACTGGTTGTGGAAGACTCCATGTCCAAGGACGCTTGCCGAGCTAGGGACGCTACGAGCTTTTTTGCCAGACCAGGCATCGAGAAGCAAAAGCTTGCTTGTCGAGTAGGTAGGTATTGTTGAGAGGGAACGGAGTCCGGCGTTAAAATAGACGAGCTAGACATGCATTGTAACATTCAAGTTGGCAGAGGCTTATTAACCGACATGACGTCTGTTTATATCTTGAGCTGCAGCTTGATTTGTGTGATTGAACTGATGTTGAAGAATATCAGATTATCTCTTCCAATGATCGCCATTGTCAAGGGTGCTTATTATGCGCACTTCGGCCACTAAGTTAGGACTCCAGCAGTGAAGATCAAGGGCTCTCGCCTCGCTTTCACGATACCTACTATGTGCTCCATCCGTGGGATGGACCCAATGCTTGCTGCTCTCCTTGTACAAGCGCATTCTACCCCTCCCCCTCACATCCCCTCTCGTGCTGCTTCTTCTTCATGCATCGTACGTCAGGGTTAATGTGGTACAGCGTAGGAGCTGCCCGTGGACGACGATGAACCTATCATTGTTAACATGTGAATTGAGAAGAGGTCAAATTGAAGTCTTTACGATGCTGAAGCTGCAGCCCCGTCCCTCCGTCGTTGCCAATGGCATGGATGACCCCACGCTACGAAAGTAGACCTGCGTCCGCGTGCTGATATGCCGACTCGAGACCGCTTTCAATGCCAACCTAGAAGCTACGAAACTGGCGGGTGTGTGGTCAAGCAGTGTCTCTCCTCTGAGGCTCGTTCCTGTACGACAAATGTTGATTGTTACATCGGAGGGGTTGTGATGATCCTCCATTGGCTGTCACCTACTGGACGTTGAAACTAATCGACCTCATTTTCCTTCACATTAAATAAACCACCCTGCATCTCACCGGTCTAAGCTTTTGAACTTTTATTAATTAACTTCCAAGATTTCTCAGATACTTCTGCTGCAGATGCCACAAAGGGATGCTGTAAAGGACTTTTTGACAAACTAGTGGCACCACAAAGCACACGTTTTGTCATGGCCATGATTAATAAGAAGCCCATCGCTGTTGTACTGTATAATAATACTTCCCCATCTCATGCCCTGGACTTATATTTGCGGGACAAGATGGGGCACTGGTTAATATCTAATATAGGAGTATCTGCTTCTGGTTTGTAATCTCTTACCGGTATGAGGGTCGAGATCTTCTCAAGTAACTGCCAGATTCAATTAATCTGCATCTCGGTTCTCCTGTTCTCTCATGGTTCAAGGGCCCCGAGACTTTCCAACAGAAGCAGATTGGGGGCGTGGCATTACGACAATAATTGGCTTATAGGAGTAGAGGACAAACACCCACGATATATTTCCCATTCCGTCATGCATTCACAGCAACCTCCCACGCCCATTACCTCTCTGAGAAATATACCATCGGTTAGCCCTGTATTGTTATTACAGTCCGAGTTCTCAACTCTGAAGAAGCTTTTTAGACTCGTGCTGGTACAATATGGGCATCCATGCACCCTCAGCCTATCGAGATGGGCTCGAGTATAAAGGCAACAGACCCTGCTGTTGTCAGTTTGGTCTCCTTTGTTAGTTGGATGGCGCAAGACATGAGGTGGTTTTAAGATTACCTACACGGAGACTCATCTCACCTTTATTTCTTGATTGCAGTGCCTGTTGACAAGTTGTACCTTTCTTACTTGGGCCTGGCAATTGAGGAGTCGCTCTCGGCCAAGAGCCTTCTAAATTCAGGGATATACCCAATACACGGTCTCTTCTTGATCACTCGAAAGCTTTTCGAATATTGCTTGATACTCAAACCGTCACAAAAGCGCCTACCCTGCACAGCCCTAGCAATCCTTATCCAGGTACTTAATAATTTCGAGCGGCTGGCTACTATGTTCGTATGGATGAAATAACACTTCCTTACCATTAATTTGAAAGTTCGACACCCTAACAGTACCTCTCTGTCACCGATCGATCTCATGTCCCCGACTCGTAAGCTTTTGATTCTCAGCCTTTGCTACAAAAGGCGTTGGCGTGGGACTCCTCAACTCGAACCAAGCCTCTTCGCTTCTGACCATCAACGTTACGGCCAACTATCACATCGGTATCAGTCAGCCAACACAACACAATACAAAGTCACTTTGGTAAACGCCGCGGCAACTCAAACAGGGGAGCCTCTCACGTTCACGGCTTCCATTATTATCCCCATTTCTAATCAAAGTTTGCCTCGCATCGGTTGACCCAGCGAAAGCCCTCAGTTCCACACTCCACGCTTCAGCGACTCACTGTTACAGGGTGCCACCGCCCACCATCCATTCACCTAGGTACCGTTTGGCCGGGCAAGTCTAGGCCTAAAGCCCACTGCAAGCACTACATCACAGCACTGTACGGAGTACACACACACAGAGATCTGTACCTTGACCTGACACGCTACGCATACTCCATCCCTGGGCAGGCGAGGATCCAGCTTTTCCCCTCCGCTTCCAGTCCCTGTCTGCTGTCACTAGCCTACTTGAAGAAGACTTGTCCGCCGAGCGCCCAGTGCTCCCCGTACCTACACACCCCCCAACCAACCTAAGCCAGGCCAAACCCTCTTCGCTGCAGTCGGGTCTATTCTGTTCTTAAGCTAGGTAGGTACCTACCTACGTACAGTGCTACAGTCAGTAGGTACGTACTGCTCTGCGGGTTCCGCCAGACAGACAGGCAGAGAGAGAGATCCGCCGAGTCGCCCGCTGCCCCTTCGAGCTAAACTTGGGACGTTTTGCGCGTGCGCGCCCACACCTCCATCATCTCGCAGTTTATATCACATCGCCAGCCCAGCTCTTTGGAGCGTCTGGGCTCTCTCCCCGACCAAAAACCAAGCACCAGCACCTTCTGGCGCAGGCCACGGCCACTTCTGTTCTTCATCCTCACCTCACTTGATCACAAGACTTTTACCAACTATTCACTGTTCGACAATGATGTCTCTCAAGGCTCTTTGAAAGCCACCCACCCGCCCATCGCAGGTTCCCGTCTCTCTCTCTCTCTCTCTCTCTCTTTCTCGACCCAGGGGTGAACATCCGTTCTCCTCCGCTACTTCCGAGGACCTTTGAAGCTTTCTTGCCCGCATCATCGCCTTTCGAGATACACGAACATCATTGTTTTTGTTCTCGCTCGACCAAATTCCCCGACATTCCTCCCAATTCCCGCCGTCACTCTCCGCCCCGACTTCCCACTAAGATGTCGAGTTCTGCCTCTGGCGACTCGGGCGGTGGCCGTTCCATGGAGTCACGAGTGGGTAGAAGCAAGCAACGTGAGTCTTTACCTGATGCGCAATACAATGTTTTCAGTTTGAAAGTATCCTTCTCGGCACATTTGACCTCCTTGGCTTTTTATGAAAGCATATGTCTTGGTATCTTCTATACCATCCTTGTTGCCCATTTTTGTGGTGTGATGGATTTGAATCCAACCATAATTTCCTACGCTCGCCTGGGCACAATTGGACAACTTTCCGACAGTCCGCGTTCTAAATCGATAATCTCAAGATCTCACCACTGACACTTTTCTTTTTATGTAGGTTACAACACTAAGGGCGAACGTCTCGTCGCTGGCATCGTGCCTCTCACTCCCGATCAAAACTATGTCCTATTGATTCAGTCTACCCGGCGCAAAGGCTGGGTGCTGCCCAAGGGCGGCTGGGAGTCTGACGAGACTTGCCAGGAGGCCGCTGAGCGAGAGGCCTGGGAAGAAGCTGGCATCACTGTTCAGATCACTTATGATCTTGGTGACATCGATGAGAAGCGTGCGCCAAAATCGTCAAAAGATCGGTCAAGATACCACTTCTTTGAGGGCACAGTAACTAGCGAGTACGACGATTGGCCCGAATCCCACAAGCGAGAACGCCAGTGGTTTACATTTGCCCAGGCATGGGAGGCGTTATCAACAAGACCAGAGCTACAGGAGGCCTTACAACGGTCTACTGTAAACCGTCAATAGCCTCACAGCGTCCTCTCATGCGCAATCCTGACCTTGGAAGTAACCAATCTCTATCCTTGAACGGCCCTCCATTCGGTCGCGACGACATGGGTTCGTCTCCTGGCTGTTGAGTGGATTGTGATACATCTTCACTTCCACAGAGTTCTTTCAATTTCCTTGTCATGAGAGGAATGGCACGTGCTCGTCTCAGAAACTCAATTTGGGTTGAGTTACGAAGCGCATCTTCTTTTACCTCCTATTTTTCAGTTCTCTATATAGAGACTACAATGTGCATCCATCCCAAGGCGTTTAGGCTGGAACATGATAGAGTATCACTTGTTTTTTTTTACACATCTAAGAATTCGGACGGGGTGGGATACTTGAGCGGCATATAAAGGTGCGAGCATCGAGATCAGAGGGTTATCTCATTGCAATTCATGGATAGGACCGGAAAAGCATCACAAAAGGTTGGCTGCCCTCAGATTCTTGCTTTTTTATCAGGGTCTAGCCCGAAGACCGACGGGACGGGGAGGCAAATATGCGCATAAGTCCACCCGTTAGAGAGGGACGAAATCTTAGTAACTCGCCTGGTCATGGTGGAGTTGAATAAACTTGGCGATTCCCCTCACTTGAGCGCATCTAAACAAGTTGAAGCTGGGTGAGAGTGAGTAAAAAGATCACCAAAATAATGAGACATAAAAAAAAGAAGAACCTTTTGCCGAATGGCATATAATGACGCACAAGCAAGTCACTGCTGCAGCTCTCGACCACTAAGAGACTGCGGCCAAGACCTTGTCATGGATGCTTATTTCTTGCTTGTTCCGTTCCCTGAACCTTTTGATTTTCTGCCCCGCCAAGATGAGGATGCCCCTCCATCTGTTTCTCTGAAATGCCCCGCATTGAAGTCAGAAAATTGATGCCATGTTTTGTTGAATTCGGCGTTTTATAGCGATATGCAGCTAAATAGCCCCTATCGTTATAGCGCTGTTTTGCCGCAATAGGAACCGCAACACCTTAGATCAACGTCAAAGCATCAACGACCTAGAGCAACTTCCCTTTATTCGACCCCTGCAACCGATCTCCTCGCAATGTTCATGTCATGAGCCCATAGAAGAACCCTCCATGGATCAATAGAATTTCGCAACCACAAAAAGACATCACAAAATACCACCAACTTCAATCCATCACGACATCATGGAGAACCTATCTATCGCCGATACCCCTCCACAGGGCCGCGGTGCGCCGCAACCGCTCCCCCAGTTGCCGCCGCAGATGTTCACGACTGCAGCGCAGCTCCTGGATCTCACAGACAGTACGACTCCGCCATGGTACCAGTTTATTCCTGTTTCCGGTTCATGAGAAGGGTTGGACTCGATAGAAGCAGGGAGAAGGAAGGATCGTGTGCTGACGACTGTATAATTGCAGAGAAGCTCATGGTCGCTTTGCGCGATGGGAGAAAACTCATCGGCGTGCTAAGAAGCTGGGATCAATTCGGTGGGTTTTAGGGAATCGAATCGCTGCAGGGAGAACATTCCCTTTTCTGACCTCAATCAGCCAATCTCGTCCTCCAATCTACCGTCGAACGTATCTTCGCGCCCTCCCCCGAGTCAGCAGGCAGCGATCGACCAACAGGTCTGTACGCCGATATAAACCACGGCATATTCCTCGTCCGAGGCGAAAACGTGCTCCTCCTTGGTGAAATCGACCTCGACAGAGATGATGACCCGCCTCCTGGCTTTAAGCCCGGTGAGCTAGACGTTGTCAAGAAGCTCGCAGAGGAGAAGAAAGCCGCCGACAAAGCAAGGGAGAAGGCGCGAGTCAAGAAGCTTGCGAAGCAGGGCTTTGAGGGAGAGAACATTGGCGAGATCGTGCTCTAGACTACGTTTGTATATTGGTGTTTATCTCAAATTACAAGGCCTGGAAGTAGGCTTAGGTTGCCGGACGCTTCGAAGTGCTCTGGCTGATGGTCTTTTGGGCAGAATATTGTGAAATGCCTATATACCATCAAGGAGATGCTGGCCTGAGAATGGGCTGGCTCTTCAGGAATTAAAAAGCCTCGACATAGTAGGTTAGAGGCAGATAGCGCGTATGAATATATGAGCTTCACGACACTACATCCAATGCTTGCTACCATGAGGCACTTGATGGTCTACTATTATGAGGTATTAGTTTCCGGTTGGGAAGCTTAAGGTAGCCCCTTAAGGGACACTTGTTAAGATATGAACTCACGTGAAGCTTCATGAATACGTTTCTGGACTTCCCTCAGAATTTCGTAACGCATGATATCGTATTTTACTCTCTTTATGATACTCGTAATAGCCACATGTATTATGAATGGAGAAGGAACTTCCCAAAATACATCAATGGCACAACTCAAGCTTGATTCGAATTTGAGGCACTAACCGTGAACATGCCATTGCACACGACTGGTAACATGAATGGTTTAAAGGCAAGACATTGTCTAAAAATGAGCTTTAGTTGCTAATTTACAAGGCTATACAAAATCTGAATGTGTGTGGAGTCTCATGGCTGATTGTTGTACACTGTCTTAAAGACAAAGACCCCCGCGACACGTACCAGCATGAAGTCGCTGGCAATGATCAAGATGCAACCAGAAACGCCTCTCGTGATGTCGTATCCTTCCGTAAACCTCTCTCGTTTTCTAAGAGAGCACACCCCTTGAGGTCATATCATCACTGTCCACCTCAGAGTGAGTGTTTAGATGGATCGTCGTCTTCGCACTCGCTCAAACATTGGTATAGGAGTGCCGGGGTTCTTGCAACCTCCGAGGAGCCAGTCAGTCAGACCGACAACTTTTGCACCAACTCCAGCTTCCCAATCGCCACCAGCTTGTGCCTGCTCAATAGTATGGCTTAGAACCCGACCCTCGGCATCGAAATCGAAGACAAACAGTCCCGTGAATGCTTTATCTGGGTCGACTCCCCGACCAAACGGCAGGGACCGGGCGATTACTCCTCTATCAGAAGAACTATCTGAACCCTTTCGCTTCTCGCACCAGCGGACCACGAGCTGCTCGGGTATCGCCCCAGCACGGCGGGGTAAGAATGTGAGGGGCTCCGTTGTCATGCGCTCCGCGAGAACTTCGATACAGACATTGCCGAGAATAGGGACGCGGTTCCATGCTATCGGGGAGGTCCAGAGGGCTGCGTTATAGGCGACACGGCCGGAGACGGTTGGTAGGTGAGGGTGCGTGGAAGGGAAAAGATGGAGGGCGATGTTTGGCGCAAGAATGTCGTGAGGAAGAGGGTGTAGTAAAAGCGTTGGCAATCGTTCTTGCAAAACTCGCAGAGCTATAGCAAATTAGCATTGTGATACAAACATCGGAATATCCTCAGTGACGTACTTTTCCCTAGCTTCGCCTTATTGGGGTCCTTTGGTCCGTCATCGCCAGATCCGACCCATCGCACGCCTGTCGCATCGAAATATGTCCTCGACAAGGCGCCTCGCCTTAGATAATCCTCGAGAAGAGTGGCATCGGAAGGCGGAAGAGAAGGTTTAGGTTCTCTAACAGTGGCGGGTTGAACCTGTGCCTTTGCCGGGCGAGCATTGGAGAGACTGCGAATAGAGGCAACAGAGGTCCGGCCGGAACGGCTTAGACTGGATCGGATGGGCGCGGCCATTGGGAGGTCACCGCAGGAGAATGGAGAGATTCATGGATCAAGAGTGAAGTTTGATAGACGAAGCCAAGGGTGACTTTATTAAAGAGGGCCTAGAATATTACAGAATCAAGGTGAGTTGGTAATAATGAGGTGTCGCCGATGTCTAGTAGCTTGGATGGTTGGGAACCTCAAGGTATGTCCACTTTTGGACTTTTTCTGCGATGGCTTAATTAATGGGTAGACTCGGAAGTATCTAGCAGCAGTAAAGTGTAGGGAAGAGACATAATTGTGAAATGCTGGACTTGATTGGTTGGTGATCGAGACTCCACAGCCACAAATTGACAGCGGAGCGGGATGTGGCGGGGCGGGTCTTTTCCACTGCGATGGGATCATTTGAGTGGGAGAGAACAGGATGGGAATCTGGAGAAAATGGGAGAATTGAGGCTGGAATGAAGCAGGATCCACTGATAAGGCGTTATCTGACATTTCTTAGAGATCATCTGCTTGCAATAGGGAATATATGCCGTCTTTCTTACTCTTAAAGCAGAAGGCGGTGAAGTTGATCTAGTATGTATCAACTTGTGACATGCCAAGTCACTTGAATCGTGTGAATGACGGCACAGGCTCCACGTTTGGCTCATCAACAGCCTCATGATGAGATGTTAAAGAATGAACGAATGCCTACAGCGCAGGCCCGACGACGGAGCGAAGCAGGCAGACCCTCAAAGTAATGATGCATTGCTCATTCCGATGTTTGCTCTTCTTTTGCTATTGGAAAATGATCCGTTTTGGGAAAGTCTGCATCAACAAGCGATAGTGTTATATCGGTAAACCGCGCTGCGACATCTTCAAGTATATTGCAATTGCATGAGAACAAGCAATATCCAGCAGATTACCCTTGCAAAGAAAATTAAATCGACGAATAAACCTCGTTTGTGACGTACCCTCTGGTTTCATTCATTTCTTATTTGCTGCACATGCTCTCCCTGCCTCTACCCGTTAACTCAGTATCACGTTGACTGACTTTGTAACTCAGGTCTTTGTTCTCTTTGACAGCATCACGTGACCCACGCCTGTCAGCTGCCCCATCATTCCCTCCCTCTCCTAGGCGGTGCTGGCGTTGCCTGGCGTTACGTTTCTTCCCTGACGTACCTTTCTTGAGCCTCTGCAACCATCCTCAACTTAATCTTTCTCTCCCATCAACTCATCTCCAAATCTCATTCCATCGCCTTGACAAGTCCGTCCTTCCAGCCTCACCCCTTCACATTTCGCACCGGACTCTTGTCTTACTGCGTACCAAGGAACCACCGCCAACATGAACCCTGAGTAGTACGCCACTCTCCGCCTCCTTTGCGATAACCTCCTGATGGAACTATCCCCCATGCTGACTATCGCTTCAGA